CATTTCCATTTTTGGAGTTAGAGAAGGATCTACAAGGCCAATAAAAAGTTGTGGGACTAGGTGTCTTGCACTATAAATACTAATTCATGAAAACTAAAACCTCAATGGCCAAGTATGACAAACAATGTGCAGGAGATACAAATTCCATTAATGAACAATAGGAAAAAAGAATGGATTGGTGCATGGCCAACATGTGGTTCTGAACTTGTATTAGGAAGAATAGAAAAAAAATCAAAAAATAACAAGATAAGGATAGAACATTGGAATCACCTCATTCAAAATATAGGAACTACCCCTACATCAAACCCTCCTATATTAATACAATGCCATGGATGTAAATACTCCATACCACAAGAAATTCAAAATAGTGGTAATTGTCATTTTTGGTGTGAATCAAACTCTGCTATTGTAGTAACAACATATAAGAAAAGATATTTAAATACAAATGATGAACAAATTACACTAAATAGCTCAATATTTGAGATTAAACAAAAAGTTATAGCTAGAATAAACAATAATAGTGATTTAAATTATATAATACCAAGACAAAATATTACAATGCTAAATGATGATTTTAATATAACTGAAAATAACTTTATAAATCAATATATTATTGATAAAGAAATAAATACATGACAAGTTAACTGAACTTGAAATACAATTTTTTTATGAAATGGATTTTACTTTCTATACAGATGGATCAATGAAAATTAATGATGATACATCAGTGAATATGGGTATAGGATGGATCAGAAGGCTCAATAATGAAATTACTCATTCTTTTAATGCAGGAATGGGAAACTGGCCATCATCAAATAAAGCAGAAACCATATCAATATTAACAACATTACTTGTAGTTCCTTCAAATAGCAATGTAATCATTTATACAGATAGCAAAACATCAATTGAGTACTTAGAATTCTTCAATAATCCATGTATTTATGTGCCAATAACACATAAATACAAAATTAAAAATTTTACTATTTGGCTCATAATAGAAGAGTTGATTAAAAAAAAGAATATTAATTTGAAGTGTAGGAAAGTTAAAGCACATTCAAACAATATTTTTAATAATGCAGCTGACTTATCTGCTAAACAAGGGCTTGTAAGCCAAACAATAAAATTCGACTTCACTAAAACAAAGACACTTAAAGCTACTCTATATTTTAATGATATTTTAATTGAACAACCAATACGTTCCTTCATCAAATCAATTAATCAAGCTGAAGCTTTTAATAGGTGGTTGCTATTACACAGGCTTGCAAAATATGCAAAGTTAATAAAGGACATTGATTGGGACAGAACATGGAAAAGTTTTGCCTTTTCATCTTACAACAGACAACCAGAGACATCATTCTCAGAAAGCAAAATTAAAGCGTTTAAAATTAAAACTATGAATAATAATTTACCTGTACTAGAAAACTTGAAGATAAGACGACCTGATTTATATGGAAATGAATGGACATGCATTTCCTGTAAACAAGAAAATGAGACACAACAGCACTTATGGTTGTGTAGAAATAGTCAAAAAACAATCAAAGAAATAATAAAAAAATGTAAAAGATACATAACAGAAAAAATCAAATTATTGAAACAGTATAACAATAAAGATCATAATATAAATAATATACTGTCAGACATTTGTTGGGATCCATATTATGATGAACAAAAAATTACCTTCTTAGATTTAATTAATGGAATAATTCCAAAATCATTAACAAATAACATTTATAAAATTATACAGTGTAACAAATCCACAACCAACATCACTAATATAATAATTGAAACAATTATTACAAATATATACAAAGATATTTGGAAACCTAGGTGTGATTTGGTGATTCAAGAAGAAATTAAGGAAAACATCACCAAACAAATGAAAGTAAAGAAAGAGAATAATACAGTAAAGAGGAAAAAAAAGAAAGAAAAAATTAAGAAGAGAAAAGATCTTGATCACAATAACTCCAATAATGAAACATCTCTCTCAACTTTGAGTTGGATAAGTTGGGTAGATTCCTGGATTAAAAAAGGAAGCCAATGGGAAATATACGTATCTTGACAGGATGTTTTACATAGTCAAAGAAATGGGGTGCAATAGCTTAATTCTCTAATTAAAAAAGGAGGCCTCATGAGACTTTGTATGACGTCAAGTCGCTCCAAACGAATACTATTTTATGGTAAAACGGGGGGAGTTGTGCATTGTAAATAATTTAAATTTTTTTTATATATGTATTACATATTTTTAATTTTAAATTAATAAATGTCACAACAAGATTATATACGTCATTAAAAAAAAAAAAAAAAAAAATATATTTACATAAGTAGGGATATAAATACGAAGTTCTACAGTATAACGTTGCACAACATGCGGCGCAACCATTACAATAAATACAGAAAGATGATCATTGATAATGCAATATTTAGTGCATCACATGACTACCGTTCTAAGTTTGTTCTAATTGGTCAACATTAACCGGGAAATTGATTGGTCAACGATTTACAATCTCACAATATAAAACTTTACACATGAGTGTTTTTAAGCAAGTTGATCCATTAAAGTTATGTTAAAAAGTTTAAAGTTTTATGCTTGTCAAAGTTACATCTTTGTTGTCATTTTTATTAATTTGCTGGTTTTCTTGCTGAATCTGGATGAATTTTTGTTGAAGAAACTCTAATTGTTTAGTTAGTTCTTTTTGGTCTTCAATTTGAAATTCATCTTTGGATAAACTGTGAGATCTAGATTTTTATTATTATTAAGAATTGCAAATATTTATATTAAAAATAATTTTATTCTATGGAAAAAACACACTTTTTTGTTAATGCTTCATCACTAAAAGGGTCAATGGTTGACAATTAAAGGAATTAGTACATTTGTGCAAGTTTAATAACTGTTCCTTTTTTTTAAAAGCTAGAGTATATATTTTTGTAAAAAAAATATAATATGAAAGCTGAGGTTTGAAAGTTTCATTTTATTGTTGAATAAGGTAACCTAGTAGATTTTTGGTGTACTATATGGATAAGTTTTGTGACTTATTTATTTTTAAAATAAATACTAGTAATTTCATAAGGTGACAGTTTTGGTTTCACCAATCCATCTATATGTGTAATCAAGTATTGTCTCCCATTTATTTACTTATTGACTAATTTTTCAGGGTCCTAGATCAACAGTCAATTCTATCAAAAAGGTATTACAGCAATTGGATAATTTTTTAACCTTTGTACATCATGCAATAATATTTTATTTTATTTAAAGCTAGTCAATATTTTATTCTTCATTTATTGATATTAATTAATCTCTATCTATTTCACATTGGTTATTTATTGCATAAATCAATTTTCTTTTTAATTCTGCTTCTTCATTATTTGGTGGAACTATAATACAGTTATGACATGTTCTACCAACTGGATAATAATGTTCTTCTTCAGTTGGAAATGCATCAAGATTAAGCCCTAATACCTCCCATCCACCAATTGGGAATCTTGTGCTACCTGTTGCAAATCTTAATAGTTGCTTACGATCTTTCATGTCCAGATTACTCATAATCCTTAACACCATCATATAGTCCCTATCACTTATTGGTGATTGATTTTTTTTTTGAATGTATTTCTTTAATGTATCTAATTTCCAATCTTCTTTTGTTCTACCACAAAAGAAATATGTAAACTCAGCTGGTGTTGGTGTTAAATATTTAAGATATTTGAATGGAAATAAATGTTCAAATCCTGTTTTATACCAATTTATTTGTCTATTTACACCTTTATTAAAAAAATATTCTATGAAAATATTTTGAAAATTTGCTGCTGTTTTATCTGTTTCCTCCTCAAAATTAATCTCACAAAATGCTGGTGGTGATGGTATATAAAAATCTGGCCATTCATCTGTTGAATTGATCATTTTTAATTGCATGACCAATGGCTCATATAATCCTTCTATTTCATCAATACCATAATCATATTTTACATTTTCATTTAAATCTTTTAATAATAATGTTAAAAAAATTTTGCTCATGTTTAAATCCACTATACAATTATTAAATAAACCAACAGATGTAAGTGCACCCAATAATTTAAAATTATTTAAAAGTTTACTATGCCCATCATTATCAGTATCATTATCTTCATCAAAACCATCACCATCAACATTTTCATTAATTTCTCTCATATCTTCTCCAATTAATGTAGGATATAATCCTGATTTGTAGGGTTGTACATATTCACCTTCATATGCTACTGAACTATTGTTGATCCACATTTTTTTATTTTTCTTGAAAAATTCTTCTGATAAAATTGTAAAAAAATCACGAGTAACTCCAAGACCTACTCCTCCTAATCCTTTGAATTTAATTTTAATTTTGTGTGAAAGACTGGCTGTCTTTTCAAGTTGTTTCAATGCCCAATCAAACACCTTTTCACGTGTTTGGATCTCTTTATCTTTCCAAACTGGCAACAATCTTTTAATAATATTAAATTCCCATTTAGAAAATCCTGATATATCTTGATCTCGTTCATTATACATACGTATACCAAAAACCTGTGCCTTAAATAACTTTAATTGATTTCTTCCAGAAACTAAAAATCGGTAGTCATGAAAAACAGAATACACCCAAAGAGGATATACTCCTGTCAAAATTGCTATTGGTTTTTTTAATTTCTCATTCAAAACCTCATCCATGTTTTTAAAAATAAACAAATTGCTCTGATAATTTTCACCTTCAATCATATTAACATACAGCCAGTGTAATAGTTTTAAAAGCTCCAATGTTGACTTGTTGTTTTCAATAACCTTACAGTCAAGTGTAGGTGGTAGGTTTGGATCAACAGTATATGGTTCATTTGAATATTTTAATTCAATCTCATACTGTTGATTTAAATTCCACTTAGAATTGGTCATCATATACCAGTGGATTGCTGCATAAATTGTTGTATCAAGTGGAATACGTTGATCTCCAATATAAAATTGCCAATGTGTTTCTTTATAAGAAAAAAAGTCATTGCTTTGATGCTGACCATCTGATGATGATGAAATGGTACTTGTGGCATCATCATCATGATTGTGAAATTCTGTTGTTTCATCATAAAATATATTATTTTCATGTTCAATCCCATATCTATCACTATAGAATAGTTCTTCTACATGTTCAATAAGATCAAATTCTTCATCAGTATACTCACCATTTTCATCAGCATGGCCAAATCCAATTCTTTCCTGCTCAATAACCTCATCATAACTTCTTTCGCCATTTTCATTATCATTATCATTATCATTATCATTATCATTACCATTACCATTTTCAATTTCATGGTCACCTGTATATTCACCCTCATCATCTTCATTCTCATTATTGTTATTATCATTATCATTATTATTGTTATTATTATTATTATTGTTGTTGCTGCTGCTGCTGCTGCTGTTATTATTGTTGTTGTTGTTATTATCATCATTAGTGTTTATTTGTGAACCAGAAAGTTCCAATCTGTTTTGATCTGCAAATAATTCATTAAGTTCTTCATGATCTTCCTCATTGTCATCATCTTCTTCTTGTTCTTCCCTACCCCCTTCAAGACCAAAATTTTGTTGTCCATTAGTAAGTGATTCATTTAAACCATCCTCATCCTCCTCATCATCATGCTCATGTTGCTCTTGTGGATTATTGTGTTGTTGCTCCAGCTGCTGTTGTTGTATTAATTGATGTATATTATAAATTTCTTCTGAATCATCATCATCATCATCATCATCATCATCATCATCTATTTGCTCATGTACTGTAAATAGGTCTCTTGAGTTTCTTATATCATTATTTCTTGTTAGAATATTTGCTCCAATATCACATAGACAATTTTGATCATCAAGCTTTATTCGATTGGCCAATTCTCTAAATCTAGTAAATAATTTTGTAGTAATTTCAAGTTTTTTGTTTTCCTGATATTTTAATTTTAATCCAATATTTCCAGTAACTATTGTTTTAAGGTCTGGTCTAAGAGAGTTTGAGGATTGTTGTGATATGAATGGTGGTGGTTCAGTACCATCAGCTCTAAAATGTTGATAAATAGATGACAATATATCTGAATAGGTATAACTAGCATCATCATCATCATCATCACCATTATAATCATTTATTTGTTGTTGATCCAACATGTCCTCTGACAAATCAATACAATCATAATAGTTTTTCTTCTCCATAAAATATAATAATGTTATAACAATTTTTTTGAAAGGTGCTTTCCGCATATTAACTTCATTCAAAGGTTTAATAAATACTTTTGTAAATATAGATTGATTTTTAGGATTTTTAAGACATGATAATAACTTTTCAAAAAAATTAAGCTCTTTTAGAACCAAATATGATACATTTGTATCCAAAAGAAAATTATATAATTCTACTAATTTACTTTCAAAATCCGTAGTAAGTTCATTTACAATCTTTTCTAATATAAGATGGCTAACTGGCTGTTGTTGTTTTTGATGCTGTTGCATTTGTCGCATCCTCTTGGAAGAACTTGTTAATAATGGGATGATTGTTATAGGTCTTCTGCCAGTACTGCTGCTGCTACTACTACTATTATTACTACTATCACCAGCATCTTGTCCACGAATTATTTGGTTATTTGTGGTGTAAGTATTACTGTTGCTATTGTTGTTATTATTATCAGGTCTTCTTTTTCTCAAGCCATCTTTATAATCTGGAGTTGTTAATCGAGCTCTTAGGCCATAACGAGGGGCCTTGTCAGTGTTGTCAGTGAGGTCAGTGAGGTCACTCATTCTTTTAGACTTTCGTAAAAAAAAAATATATCAGTAACATGTCAGCTATGAGCATGATTGAAAATCCATTTGATTGGCTGATCGTCACACGAAATTTTGTACCAATTTCATTGATTATAAAAGTTTACTAATAAACTTTTTTCAACAAATATAAAAATAAAAATTGCATCTTCTCCTTCAAAGCAAAAGATACAAATATGAAATTAAAGAAAAATTGTAATAAATGTGATGCTGAACATGACGACAGAGAGTTTTTTTTTTAATTTTATTAGTAAGTTATCCAAAATGCTAAAAATACTGTTAAACTTTGAAACGTATAGGCTCGATAACCAAACAAGTTAGAATAAAAAAATTTCACAATTTTTTTGCTGTGATTCAAAGAATAGCCTGACAGAGAGTTTTTTTAAAAATTATTAATTGAATAAGGATTTATATATATATATATAATTTTCGATTTTTTTTTTGATAATCATTTCCTTTTGAAGAAAATTCTTAATCATTATTTTCTCGCAATTAAGGAGTAAAGGTTCTGAGGAATTAGTTTTCATTTTTTTTGACTGCATGTGTATTATGAATTAGTCTTTTTCTTTTATTGGCTTCGGCATTTTATTAAACTAGAAGACTTTTACAAATTTGACTTATTCAAATTCTAAATATTTTTTTATTTAAACTTGGATATTTTATTTTTTACGATTCTTACAATTATTATTATTATTATTATTATTATTATTATTACAGTCAAGTATTTTACCAAATTTGGAAATCGAATCTAGAAAAATTGTAACCCCCTTGTTGATCAATTCATATATGTTACAAACGATTTAACGTGCTTTGTGAAAATAAAATTTTTAAAAAAATTCTAATAATAATAATCAAAATAAATTATTCTGAATATATATTTTAAGAATCCACCGAGATCCACACAACTTTACACACTAGTTTTTTTTTAATACATAGGAGAATTATCGGCTTAAAATCCTTTTTTTTTAATTTTTAACAGTTAGAAACATAAATGTTGGACCATTATGTTTGTATGAAGAAAGCCAGCTGACGCCATGTTGGTGCAAATCTTATTATTAAGTATATTCAGAATCACCATTACTATATTTATTCATAACAATATATTTTTATCTAGGCTTTATTTATTTAAAGGTACACGTAGTTTAAGGATACCAACTGCAACTTTGATGATGGTTTTGACCACCTTTACATCATATAAAAATGATTGCAACACCTAGCAACTACTTTGTTGGATTGCAGCATGGAGCACTAAAGTAGTTCGGTATGGAAATGTAAGCATAAAACTCCAAATAAATTATTTTGTATTATTTACAATGGTGGCTATTGATTTCAATATATTAGAACTATTATAATTATTATTCATTTTTATTATATGGATTTGAAATTTATGTATCCTTTATTTATTATTTAACAGAATTATATTTCCGATGATATTATTTTAAATTCTATTTTTAAAGATAAAATGAAGGAATAAAATCATTATTAAAATATGCTATATATTGGTTAAATAGCATCTCTGGCATTGCTTGACCTTGGATAAGCTTGTAGAAAAGTTAAAAATGCACATATTGTATAATTTTGGAAATTATATGACCAATTAATAAAACCCCCGCCATGTTTTTCTTGTTTTTTTTTCCTTTAAAGATTATTTATTTTTTCAACGAAAAGATCTGCACAGGATTTAGCCAATTAGAATTTCCTTTCATAACGTCGATCATTACAGGGGATTATCCCTGATTGAATTTAGCCAATCAGAATTTCTTCTAGAATTTTTCATACCATCGATCATTACGGCATTTAGTATTTCCAAATTTGGTAAAATACTTGACTGTATTTTAGTCATGTTACTTATGACCTGCTATGCTACTATTATTATGTTATGTGCCTTAAAAATTTTGTTTCTTGTCTAGTTTTTGATAGGACCAAGATCTGAGGATCTTATTTTGTCCAAACATAAAGAAAAGAATAAACAACTTAACAATATAAAAAAATAATATGCAAGGTGCATTGGTTTTTTGTACCGATATTCCTCTTTTTTTTACTTTAAAATAATTGAAAATTTCTGCCCTACAAAAAGTTTAGGTGCTTAAAATGTATTTAAAACATGCTTAAAACATACCTTTTTTTAATAATGAACAAAATTAAGTATTTTTTAAGTAACCTTTTAAGTGTATTTTAAGTGTATTTCAAGAATGCTAGTTTACCATCAAAAGTATGTGTTAAGTATATTTTAAATATATAGTATATTTTAAGTGTATACTTAACATACTTAAAACTCACTTAAAATGTTCTTGTTCTCTTCCATCAGTATATTTTAAGTATATTTTAAGTATATGATGTATATTTTAAATGCATTTTAAGTATCTAAACTTTGTGTAGGGCTGTTTCACAATATAAAAAAGATCAATGTTTAATTTTGTCACTTTGTGATAAATAGAATGTCCATTATGCTTCATAAGAGTTGTTAGAGAATAGTTATCACATGATCAACATCAAAATTTATAAAAAAGGAAATAGAAAGGAGAAACAATGTGAACAAACAAATCTTCTTCCTTTAATTAATAATAATAATTAATGATGATAATAGTAATTAATGGTAATAATTAGTAGTAACAACAGTGATTAATGGTAATAATAACAGTAATTAATGCTTATTGAAATTAATTCCCTATTTAATTCTCAATATCAACATGGACTTATTAATATATATGTACATTTTATTGCAATTTTTGGCAAACAATTAGCATGTGACCTTGACTTTTTACAAACACAAGCTACTTTCACCCTATGTTGAATTTAGGCTCTTAAATTTGTCAACTTATATTAATAATAATAGGTCATCTAATTTTTTTGGTAGAGAATTAGAAGAAAAGATTAGGTTGTTAGAATTTATCCAGATGATTTTTATCCAATCTTCAGAAACTCTTTTGAAGTTGCATATAACAAATTTTCCAAATCATCCTGAATGAGAACTTTTTAGGACATGTCAAATAATGTAACAACAGAATTACAAAAACCAAGCAATTAATTTATTATAGAATGAGGAGTTTATTGTAATCTTGTGTACAATCCATCTTTGAGTGATCTTGATTTAAATCAATATTGGTTAAGTATGTCAAAACAATTACCACTATTCTCAAAAATTGCATTGGATACATTTGGCTTCCCATATCAGTGTGGAGAGAAGTTTTTTATGTATAATTCTCTTTTGGATAGTGATTGCCAGAATTTATCAATTGATTCATTAAAGAAATTAAATATAAATAAATAAATTTTTTATATCACTGCATAGTTTGTGAATCTTGATTTAGTGGATACTAATTAAAAATCTCAGTTTTACAGATAAAAGTCCAAGAACAGTTCCATAATAAACCTTAATAAAACCTTCTTGATATAGTGGATTTCTTGGTTAACAGATTTTTGGAAAATTTTCCCTAATTGCCCAAACTATCTGTTAAACCAAGATTTACTGTGTAATTGATATTTTTTGGTGCATAATTTGCACATAATATAAAAAAATTTATGTGCATAATTTACGCATAATTTGCTTTTATTGAATGCATAATAGTCAATTGTTGCATAAAATCATCGTCCTTGATTATCAGCTTAAAAAATTTTCGTGATACGAAAAATCTTTACAATACGTGTAAAAGAAATAAAATTATTTAAATTAGAAAGATCTTCTAAAATTTTAAATTTCGGAAGTCTAGTGAGATTTAATTCATAAAATCCGAATCAATGATTATTGAGGTATTTTGGTTTATCATATATATTACAATGACATGTCATTTATTGATTAAAAACACCATTGTTCAAATTGTCTATGCGATTATTCTAATGAGTTGTGTTCCATTAAATTTGGATCATTGGTTCTCAAGAAAATAATTTTGAGATTATTGATTATAATAAATCATATGATATGACATAATTTGACTATTTTGATTTTTAAATGCTGGAACACCAAAGCAAATCGAGCATGTTTAGCTTAAATGTATTACGGATAGATGAAGCTATAAAGGATCCTACTATGTGGTGGTCTGCTTTAAAGAATGAGGTGCCAGTACTTTTTGAATTTGTTGCTAAACTTATGTCAATTCCTGCTTCATCAGTAACAACAGAAAGAAATTGATCCATTTTGGCTTTGTTAATAGACTAACTGATAACAAAATTTTTAAGTCGGTTTATATATATTAAAATCTTTGTTTGAATGACAAAGTTACAAATGATAGTATAAATAGTAATAATTTGAGAGATGTAGATATTTGGTCAAATTAAAGTTTTTGTATTGATAAAAACCTTTATTTATATAATAATTATTCAATAACTCTCATTTTGTAGAAATTTCAGAAATTTTTATAATTACCTATACAGTAAAAAGTCAAGTTTTATTTACTTCATATTCAATGTAAGTCAATTTATGCTGGATATTCAAAACACTTCAACACACTCTCTTGACATCAAAAGATCTGATGAGTGTTTCTCCCAGTCATTCATTATATGATATTCCACTTTTTAATTATGTATTTAAATTCATCTTTTTTTTACAGCCAAAAGACTGTTTTTATTATTTTTTATTTTTTTAAAAGTCCACTTTTTTGTAAATGAAATTTTTTAAATTTTTTATGTAAATTTACACCCTGTGAAAAATTTTTTTGATGAACTTTTTTTGTGCTGATATATTATAATATTATAAATATAAAAATAATACTAATAATAATACTACACTATACAAAACTAAGTCATTCCCATGAAACAAATTTTGGGAAATTTCAGCTAGGCTGAACTCATGTTTTTTTTTTGCAAGCATTAGTATGTAATTATTTTTAATGATTTATATTACTTGTGAGACCACTGCATTTTTTTCTTGTTCTTGTTGTTCTTCATAATTTTGTAATACTCTACCTATTAAAAATTCTTCATCTTTAACAGTCTCAACCCATTTCTTAATAAGTTGAACTATATGCTGTTGAGCATAATATCCAAACACAAATGATAAAAATAATGGGTAAACATATCGATACAACATTGTAACTGTGTTTGGATTGGCTATTTCTAAAAAAAATGGTTTATCAATTAATATGACTGATTAAGTTTTCTAAATGTTATTAAAACAAAGTTTTTAATTAATAATTAGTAATTACCATATATTTCAATATAGAATAGAGCAGCTGATCCTGGAAGAATTATGGCTCCTAGCCCAATAAGACTAATAGGTGCTATAAAAACACTGGTAACCAATTCAAGATCCATATTTCTAAGACCTTGTGCTGTAAGCTAATAATAAATTTGATTTTTTTTTTTTGGAGATTTTAGAATTATAATAATAACATTAAAAACACCTTACTATCCACGTATGGATGGGTAGAAAAAAATACATAAACTTACAACATTAATTGCTCTACTGTAATCATTATCTGGTAACATAAAAATGATTCGATATATTATCTTCATATAAACAATTCCTAATGCCCAATCCTATTATTCAATTTTTTTATTAACAAATTTATACTTGTATATAGAAAGGTGAGAAAAATAAATAGTAACAAACCTGTAAAAATGAGATTGTCTGTGAATTGGTTGTAATCTTTTTCCATGGCAAAATCATATAAAGGTCAATTATAAATGAAAGAAGGAATGGTATGATAAATCCAAATGATAAAACAATATAGAGAACTTTAAATGCTGATATTAATGTATCTGAGATTTTTTCTTTAACTAAAACCCAATTTATTTTATTATCTCTATCCACAAAAAAAAGTCTAACTTTTCTAAACAATATTTCCATAAAAACTCCTGTAAACCATATAATATATAATCCAATTGTAATTGTGTATAAATCATGAACCGCTTTCTCATACCTAAAAATATTTTTAAAAATGAATCGACCTACTAAGACTTTTTTTAGGAAAAAAAACAATAAATATTATGATTATTATTATTTATAAATATGGTTAAGATTATTCAAATTAAAAAAAAATAAAACATACGTGGCAAAACTGTTACTGAGCAACCAAATAAAGAGCCACATAACCACATTAGAAATAAAAATAAAATAATTCTTGCTTTGAAATTAGGTGGAACATAAACAACCATGTAATGTAGTAAGTCATCTTCTCCAACAAGTGCATCATTAGAATCAAGTAACACTCCATCCTCTGTCACTGGAACTAACATTCTTTTCCCAGGTACAACAGGAACACCGTCATAATTTGGTGCTCTAACAAATCCACCATCTCTTACAAATTCAACATCATCATTGCTATTATCTTCAATTTCAACAACTCCTGGTGGTGGAATTTTTGGGCTTAAATTAAAAAAAATTGCTCGCCATGTCTTTCTCACAATTGTCCCCTCTTCTGAATCATGTCGTCCACCAAACATAAATGATGTCAACCGTAATTGATGTGAAGTAAATCGCCACCACTTTTCAAATAAGCTAATAAATAAACGCTTTGGCTTGGCCCAACCAATAGTAACAGGTACAATTATATGAAATATCAAAAGATCAACAGGAAAATCAGAAATTGGCTCACTATGAAATAAATAAATATTTTGTTTTATTTATTATTTATTATTTATTATTTTTACCAAAAATAAAAATAAAAAAAAGAACTTACGAAAAAGACCAATGTAGTGGTAAAATTCCTCTAATACAATGACGAAGAAAATATATAACACTTCCTATACCAAACACAATCATTGCACTATACATAATACCACTTGCACATATTTTCCTGAGCTGTGTTAATACCGGTCTTTCTAAAATTTCTTTGATTGGATGAAATTGTGGATCATTGGGATCTCTAATAAACCATAATACCCCACGTCTTACAGTATCACGACAAAGAGTGACAAAAACTGCAAAATAATACATAAATGCTGTTCCTATAAACCAATGCAAAAGTGTTGAGGTGACTGGTGATTCAAAATAAAATTCTAGTCGTGATGTTGGCGTTGCAACAGGGAAAAGTGGCAATGTTGATAGATCTAATAAAATACCACATATTATTGGAAATATAACTAATTCTATGGCAATAAAAAATGCAACCTAATAATTTACATAACATAAAATAAATAAATATAGATTTATGTATAGAACCATAAATAAATATGTGTATATTTATATTTCTAACCTTCAATACAATTCCTTGTTGTTTTAAACCTTCTCTAATAGCTCGTCCAACTGTACGTCTATAATTGTTTCTTGTTTTTGACAAGTACCAAGTACACATTGATATAAATATAGCATAGCCACAAAGTATACAAACAATTTTATCTAAAGGTGTATTTCCATGAGCAAAACCATTCCAACGATCAACTATTTTTGCTGGTATAGTTAGATTTCGACGTTGAAAAAAGTTTGATAATTGGCTAACTGTATAGTCAACCGTTCCATTATTTGAAATATCTTGTGAAAAGTCAAGTTCTGAAAGTATATTAGCAGTATAAATTATGAAGTCTTGCGTTATATTTGATATTTCATTTAATTTAAAATAACTTGAATGTATCATATCATCTGACAATATTAAGCAACAAAATCAATTTACTAGATTTATTTACGATAAAAGTTGATAATAATAAGAAATTAAATTGATCAAGTGAGAAAATAAAATATTATTGTGACACAATTCATTTTTTATTTTTTCTTAAAATATTAGATTCGAGTGAACAATGTTACCATATCGGAAAAAAAAAAATGCAAACATTTTAATTGAATGTGCAATATTAGTTCTCTATAATAATGACAAGCTGGTCAAAAATATCAAAAGAGCTTTACAAAAAAAAATATCAAATATTTCAATTATATTATTATAATTAATAAATATCATATAGCCTTTTATTAGATATGATTATGAGTATATACAAAAAAGTTATCTCTAAAAATAATCAGTTAAATAATCAAGTTCTATTTGTAAAAAAATAATTAATTACATTAAAACTATTAATATTCATTAAATATGTTATCATGTTTGTTGGTAAATGGAGAAAATTAGTTTTCATAAAATTTAAAATATTTTTTTTGACATTTCATGTAGGAAGGCTACTTTGTCAGCTACTGACATTAAAGCATCATATTGATTGTGTAGAGATTCTGATAATGCAGAAAGTTTTTGTTCTATATACAAATATACATATACATTTAATTAATAATTTTGATGTGGGAAAAATAAAATTAATCTATTTATATTTATATTAATTACCACTACTACTTTCATATTAAGATCTATCATTCAAGCCCTTAAACTGTTGGTCTAATTCCTTTACAAAAGATATTTTTATTTCATATTATTGCAATCTATTATCAAACGATGATAAAACCTTTTAAATCAATAGCTCACATTTAGTGTATAATAGACAATAAATAGTAATAATAAAGGTAAAAATGTACGAAATTACTTTTAGGAAAACTGCATCACCAATTATTTTTACTGTCACTTGTCCACAAGACACTGCACCATAGAATTGATTAACAGTTTCTGCATAACTTGAATAAAAATATCATTAAATTGATCACTTTGTATGTTATTATTTATTCGAAATACTTTCTAAATTGATAATAAATTTATTGAGTAGTTAAAAATTAAAGCCTTCAAAATAAGTGATGGTAAAACCATGCTTTAGATAAAGTATAAATTTCATTATTAACATCTTGCAGTTGTAGTAGTTTAATGTTGGGCAGTGTCATGTAATTGATAGTTGACATTAATATTTTTTGATACGTGTTTACTATTTAATTAAATATTATTTTTAAAGAAAACAATCAATAATTAATTTGATAATAATTTAAGCGGGAAACAAATCATGTATAAAAGAGTGAAAATACTCTATTTTTTTTATAAGTTCATTCTTTGTACTTTCGGGTAGGTTAGAAAACAAAGTTTATTGTTAATGTTGAATTGTCCTCTATATATATATATACATGTATAGATTTGTAGGAACAAAATATTATTATTAAAAACAATATAAATAAATTTAAAAATGAATCTTAATAGTTTACATTAAAGTTCCTAAATATGTTGGTATTGTCATTATTATCACAAAAGTAGTGTCGGTAATTGGTTTGCTTCCAAAATCAAACCCTTGATTTATTCTTCCTCCACTAGTTGTAGAATTAGTGTTAACAAGCCAATATCGCCAGAGTTTGATGGTACATTTCCAAAGGTTGAAAAATTCAAATGTCTATTTTGAAAAAATAGGCTTTTCTATTTTATTTTTTAATTTATGTTTTAGACTAGCATAGTGGAAGTTTGTTGTTACACGAAACGTTATACAGAACTCATTGCTTCTGAAACTTCGCCAGTTGTTACCTCTCTAAATTGGAGTTCAAATTCAGTTTATCACTTACTTTTTTATTGCCAGAATGTTTGCCGTGTATTGTAAAGCTACGTTGCACAATATAAAAAATTAGTGTAACATTTCAAATTTCCACTATGCTTTTTAGACTGTGTTGATCTATTTTTTGATCGACAAAAAATGCATTATTATACATTTCTTAAATTTTGCAAAGCTTTCCTTTAAGATAATAAGTTAATACTTCATTGATGGGACCAATTATGACTGATTTTGACACAGGTCAATTAGCACCGTCACCAACACCACAATCAAACGGACACAGTGATCCTAGATCACAACTTGAAACTATGCTTGAATCTTTAATCAATAGATTATGGGACATAACAGTAAAACTCAATGAATATGACAATCATCAGAATAAACAGTCATTAACAAACTCATTGTAAGCTTTTTTTTTTTTAATTTGAAAAAAATATTTTTGTTTAATCTTTATTTATAGTTTATTATTGCTATTATTATTATTATTATACAAGATAGAGTGGATCTTGCAACATTATATGAAAGGGTAAATATGCTTCAAGAAAAGATCAAACAAATAGATGTACCTATAAATGTAATAGAGTAAGCTTTAATGTTATTATAAAATTATTGCTTATAATAAATATTAAAGTCTTATAATAATAATGGTGGTGATGATTTTATTTTTAAATTATTAGTTCTATTGATGAAGGTAAAAATCCAGATATTTATATGAGAGATTATGTTGAAGAAGTTATGATTGAACATATGTCTGTAATAAATAAAAATGATGCTGTGATGGTAAATTGTTAATTGATTAGTAATTATTATTAAGTTAAAATATTTTATTAATCATAATGATAATTTTTTAATTTAATGATATAGGATTTTAAGGACCTGGTTTTAAATCAATTAGGAGAAATATTTCCAGCAGAATCTAATATTTACAAAAATAAAAATCAGAAAAACCTTGAGTAATGACAATAATAGTTTTTTTAGATAATAAACATAGATTGTTAGTTTATAATAGAGAATTATATAATAATAGGCATTAGTTTTATATATATAAAATAACAATCAATAATTTTTCTTTTTCTTTTATTGATTTAATTATAATAATAAAAATGTCCTAATTATTTATAATTCTATTCTATTTATAATTTGATTTTAAATTTAAAGTTTTATTATATTTATATTATTATAATTATTTATTTATATATATAGGTATTTTACTTCAATGATAATAAAATTTTATAAATATATTTTTAATAAAAAAAATTGTTTAATCCAGTTGTTCTGGTTCTAAGTTTGCAGATGATGATGGGTTTAATAAATAAATAAAATCACTGAGTGTTGAACTATTTTTTAATTGATTGCCACTATCTGTCTCACCTATAAAAAAATCTGATATACTTAAGGGTCGAATATCTATGTTCTAATAATTAATAACATTATCAGATAATTAGAAAGTTAGATAAAATTTAATTTATATCAAAAAAAAAATTACATACTTTTGGATCAACATCATCTAAATCACCATCTGGTGATGAATGATTTCTCATATATTCTCTAACAGGGAACATAGCTGCATTTCTACATAATTCTTTCAAATCACTCCCTAAAATTTTTTTATAAATTAATTTTTTTAAATAAAATAGATAAAATTATGCAGATGATGAAATTAATATCATACCTGAAAAGCCTGCAGTTTTTGCTACTAGCTGATCAAAATCAAAATTTTCTTCAAGTTTTTGATCATGTAACATCTTTTAATAAATAAATAAATTTAATTAATATTGTTTTTAAAATCAAAATAATAATAAGCCACTAACGATTTCTAAAATATTTCTCCTTTGTTCTTCATTTGGCAATTGAACAGAAAATCTTTTTGGCATACGACGAAGAATTGCATTATCTATTTTTGACAAAAAAAAAAAATATACATATATTATTTAATTAATATGTCTACCTTTAACTCTATAATAAATAGAAGTGAGTTAAACCTGACCTAACCTACCAATATCATTAGGCCTATTTGTGGCACCAAGTATCTTATAACAGTAATAATAATAATTTAAAAGATAAATAGATAGTTATGTTAATAATATTTATATTATTTCAAATATTCATATTATAAATATATATACATGCATATATAACTTACAATTATACGGATATTTTCATCTGTAGTTAACCCATCCCATAAACTAATAATATATTCAATAGAATATTAAATATTTGTTTTTTTTTACTAAGTCAAATAAAGAAAAGATTATTTACCTCATAAATTCAGCTTTCATCATACCAGTAACTTCATGATCATTACTTCGCCTTTCCCTTAGAAATGCATCTATCTCATCAATAAAAACAATACATGGTTGTAATTTTTTGGCAACTGAAAAAACAGCTGAAACAAGTTTATTTGATTCACCAAACCATTTATCAGTTAATGTTGAAACATGAAGATTGATAAATGTAGCTTTAGATTCACTTGCAAGTGCTTTTGCCAACATTGTTTTTCCACATCCTTATTTGAAAATTTTTTTTGTGAATATATATATAAATTTTAATTCAAAAATAAAAGGAAAGGTTTTGGATAAAAAAATTAATTTACCTGGAGGACCATAAAGTAATACACCTTTAGGTGCTCCTAATAATCCCGATGAGGAAGAGAATAATTCTGGATAAGTTAATGGAAATATTACTGATTCACGAAGGTTTTGAATAATTGGATCAAGACCTTTATTTATTTAAATGAAATAAATTAAAAACAAAAATAAAAAACATTGGAATGACTATTGGTTAGGGATAATAAATAATATAATGATGAAAAAATACCTCCAATTTCTATTAATATATTGTATTAGATATATTAATGATAATGACAATCAGTATGTTTGTTAATTCCTTGAATGATATATACATTTATATGATACTTATAAAAATATAACAACGTACTTTTGAAATTAACTGAAATGTCTTCAGGAAATATTACCTCTGAAAGAATTATTTCTTCATATTCACTGAGTTTCAGATCTTTTAACTATCAGCATAAGAAAAAGAATGTTTTGATTGATTTATCAATAATCAATCTAATAATATGTATATATAGATATATATATTAAAAACATACTCCTAGTTTACTTAAAACTTTATCACTTTTTGCCTTTGATTCTTTTTTCTTGTCTTTTAAAGGATCAAGTGATTTAACAACATATTTGACTGTGTAGTATAAAAGTACTTGTGAAATGGCAATCATGGCCACTAAATTTTCAAATATATATAAACATTTACAGAAATCAATCATAATGACATTTTAACATAAATATATAAATAGCTATTAATAAAAAATTACCTTCGGCAAAGAATTTTTTTGCATTTGAAGGTGCCATTTTTCACAAAAAGAGAATTTATATGCTAAATTGATCGACAATTTCAATTGTTACCTGCATGATGAATTTCTCTATCAGTCGAACGCAGCGGGTCATTGCAGATCAAGTGTCATTCAATATAAACGTTACACGAATAAAATTATTATCGTCCACTTCAAAAAAAAAATCTCCGTTTTTCATATAGCAAGCGATTTAGAGATTGGACCCGGGTTGGGTCCAACCGGGTTATGAAAATTACCACCCGGGTGGAGAAAAATGAATGTAACACAATGGGACGTCTGATTTATAATTCAATTTTTTACATTTCATATGTATTATCAACATTTTTAATACGGATTATCCAATATCTTATAAATAATGATTTTATCAACAATATTGTTAGAGTTGTCTTGTTACATATTAATATATACTAATGAATTATTTTGTTTTTTGGATTTTGTGTAATGTCACAATGACATTTAACATACAGATTATCCAACCTCTTATAAATAATAATTTAGTCAACAGTATTGTCAGAGTTGCCTTGTTACATATTAATATATTAATGTTTTTGAAAAAGAACATTGAATGCGAATTTCCATATAATATATACCACAATGATGTTTAACATTATGTCTGATTTATTATAATTCATTTTTATAAATCATTTTTATAAATAATAATTATAATTCAAACAGTTTATATTGTAAAGTTTGGAATTAATAAAAAAATAAAATTATTTTTTTATCATTTATGTAAATTAAATCCATATATAGAAAGATCTGTTCACTACCCGGTTGACCCGTCGGGTAAACCCGTGGGTCACCCAGGTGAAGTTTTTTCAATCTCTAAAGCGATTTTCAACCATAATAAATTTTTTAGAGCCAGACTGGGGTTTTTAACAACAGTTAAAAGAAAAGACTAGCTTAAATATTGGTTATTCTACACCAGGTCGAAAGCGTTTCTTTTCTTCACACTTATTTTAAGATTATCACACAGACTAAAGCAAATTCAGCAGCAATAGTTGTGCCAAAGTGTTACCTACAAAGTTGCTTATAACTACTTGGAAGGTTGTGTTATAAAAATTTTGCTTTTAATTATAAGGGACTGATTTATAAGGTTATTAATTTATTTAGAATTTTAAAATTACATGGTCA